TTTTAGGTTTATTATGAAGTTGGCTCAAAATTCTATGATATTTTTCTTACGCAGGACTGGGATGGACAAAATGCAACTCAAATTGTCACCGAGATGTGTGGGTTTGTAACAATTCTTGCAGGGACATTTCTTCTTCACAAAACAAAAGATATGGTTGAAGGTGGGTTCACTCCTTTTCCGTCAGTTGTTTATTCTATCACGGTTCCATGATGATTTAGTTCAAGAATGCTTTAATTGCACTCTTCTTACAGGTTCGTCCCCAGGTTTACCAATCCGCCTTCCTAAGCATTCAGAAGATGATGAATTTATTTCTGATGGTATTCCTCTTCGACGTCAAGAATCATTGCGATCACCGTAAGTGTATTCTTTGATTTATTGGTCTGCTCTACTGCTCGTGTTGGGGGAGGGAGGATTTGCGGCCATTCGCCATCTGTATATTATTAGACATCTTGGGTTAGACCCATTTTTATCCTTCAGGAAGACAATGAACAAGAACATCACAGGACTCTCTCCTTTATTCATATGCGAGGATCACCTTCAGTTTCTGCAATGTATACTTTGTTCCAACTTCTCCCTCATTTTCTCCCCAGGAAGAATCTACTTCAGAAAATTGTAACATGAGCATATTGTTATATATGATTAAACTTTGCTTCACTTTTATAAATAGGAATATGAGCCTACACTTCTGAACATGGCTTTGAAATTGAGAAAGAGGGTTGACAATGGACCTGCTTCGTTTAGGCAGAGGTATTCTTATCCATTTTGTTCTAATATAAATTTAGTGTTTTGGTTTTTGGTAAGTTCGAATGCTATAGTTGAATATCCATTTAGTGATTGATAACAGTCTTGTCTAATCTGTCGGGATTCTGATGCTGTTGTGCCTGAGTTATCAGAAACTCTAGCTGTTTGGTTGGTTATGTTGATGTACTACCCTCTCCTCCTAGCCTCAGCCATATCCCACATGCCAAGATTTGTTTTTTTTTTTTTTAAAAAAAAAAAGAGAGAGAGAAAATGATGCCAGAATTAACATTTTGTTTTATGATAAGAAGTTTAGCTTATTATTAAATTTTAAGTCAACTAACGGTTTCAAAATTTCTGATATCTCTTCATTTCAAAAAAAAAAAAAAATTCTGATATCTGTGCTTCTTGTCATTGTATATAAAATCATAGATTTATACATTATCATATTGTGTATGTGTATATAATTTAATTTTGAGTAATTTAATTTCAAATTTCTTTGTGCTTGTGTTGAGAAATTTACTCATACAAATAAAAAAAATCAATAATTTTATGTAAAATAACCGCCGGGGGGGGGGAAGAAAGTGATCTTGAATTGTGCCAAGTTTAAAAAGTACAATAAGATTATTGTCCTTTCTTTGTTTTTTTAGACTTTATTTTATAAGATGATTTTCAGAAAGTCTTACAGACATAGAAGAAGAGAATAATGGCATGATAAAATTGTTAAACGATTCCAATTATTTCTGTGCATAAGATGTTGACTGTTATTTGGAGTAGAAGAGCAATTTTGCTGGCTTATCTGAAGAAGTCTATTGTGTAAACCTCTTTCAAAGATCCAAAGTCAATAGCAACTTGGAAAAATTAAGCTGCTCGGTGGATTATTCCCTACTAATCCGGCGCTATGTATGATTTGATGCTCCTTACCTCTATTTTTTTTTCACATGTAAACGTTTTTGGCTTTGCTGCTAACTATCCACTTGAAGATTTTATGGGTTTTTTTTGGAAAAAATATTTTTTTTTATCACCTTTAATATATTACCAAACACTCCGTGCCACGTTTGGATGATATAAGAAAAGTCCACCTATTAAATTCTTGTGGCCCCAAACTAAAAATCAAGAAGAAAGAAGAAAAACCCATTAGCTTAATCATGCTCAGTATAAGATTTCCAATGAATTTTCTTCATTTTTCTGGTTGGTTTCTTCTGGGTGTGAGAAAAAAGGTTAGCACACCAAATGTTTGATAGATGGTCCAAAAGACAGATCAAGGAGCCTGGTGCCTAGAAAATTGTCTGAAGCATCTACGTTGAGAGGACAACCAACCCATATAAGATTCTCTTCACTGTACACCAAGAAACCGGTAAGAAAGCAGTTGAACTAAAGCTTCCAATGCAACAACCACCATTACCAAACCTCCAACCTCTACGGCAGCTTCTTCCTCTCTCCTTCCCATCTCTTATTTTACAGACACCTCTGCAACCAAGTCATGGCCGCCACTACTGAGGAGTTTAGCTTCCCCACAATCACTGATTGCGGCATCGATTCCCCGCCTTTATGGCATCTCTCCCCTGCTGCCTCCCCTGATTCTTTCCATCAACAGATAGGTGATAAGTTGAGAGCAGGAAGAGAGGAAAACAATGGTTTCGCTGCATCAAATTCAGAACCCACCAGGGGTAATAAGCAAAGGAAAAGCTTTTCCTATTTTGGGAAGTATTCAAGCATGGTTAGTGATGATGAAGTAGAGGAAAAGATGGACATGTTGTGGGAAGATTTCAATGAGGAATTGAAGAGAAGTTACAGTTCAAGGAAGGAATCTAACAGTTTTCCATCTGGAGGGGACAAGAATATGAAGGTGAACGTCATAGACTTGAAGTTGTCGAAAACTGGTGCTGGTGCTGCCATGATTTCTCCTAGGAAGCCAAGCTTGTTGGTCTTTATCAAGGTGATGAAGAAGCTTTTCTTGCTTCATAATTCTCAGCGCTCTAATGCATGGCGCTTATAACTGCCGGGAAAAGCTTCAGTTGTAGATTATGGCCTTCTTGGATTCTGATTGATTTGTGGTAAAGATCAAGAAGGGTTCATCTAATTTGAGCAGCAGTTTGGTATGTATTTTAGTTATCCTTGCATTTGGGTTCAATCTTGGTGATTTGAAAAAAATTACTATTTATATATTTACACTGTTAAATATACTGTACAGTACTGCACATACATATATATATATATATATATATAGAAAGGAAGACAGATAACCATATTTTTGTCTGTTTTAGTGATGAAAATTGAGAATGTATTGGGAGCTTCCTGAATTTGTAATGTTAATTCCAGAATTTGTATTGCCTTTGAATTGTATGCAGGGAAATGGATTCAAGAAACATTTCATCTTCTAAAGCACATTGTTTAATTAACTTGAAAAACTTTCCCCCTTCTAACATCAATTGATGCAAGGGATGTGAATTTGCTGATTTCTTTAGTGCTATTGCTAAGTCTTAATTTGGAAATAGAGATTATTTGTTAATATTTATATATTATTAAAATGGTAGTTGGAAGTGATAAAAAGCATCTAATTCTACTTATGGAAAAGCTCATTGATTCAAACTTACATGAATTTTCGTATTTATAATCACATCCAAAAAGTAATACTTAATTCGTTGATTACTTGTTCTCATCCTCTTTTCCAAATAAAAAAGAACAAATTGCACTAAAAGTTATACCCTACTCTTATCTGCCCCATAATTTAATTCATTTTAATACTTGTTTTCTCACAAGAAGAAAAGTAACAAGTCATTAGTTTAGTTTAGGGAAAAACTAATAACAATATTTATGTTAGAAAATAATTGAATACATAAAAAAATAAAAATAAAAATTCACTATAAGAGATATTTCTATTTAAACATGTTTATAAATAATTAATAAACATTTTATTATAATTAAACATAATTATAATTTATTAAACACAAAAAATATATATATATATTTATACGTATATATGCACTACAATTAAAAGAAATAATTTTAAAATTAAAACAAATAAAAGTATTTGTGATGTGGGATTTATATATATATATATATATATATATATATATATCTATTATATACGCATGTAGTTAAGAGTTGTTGTTTTGGTAAGTGACAGTCTCTACAATTTTGAGTGTCATTCTCCAAACCCCGTCCTCTTGTATCCTTAATTGTTTTAAAAGAGACAATTGATAAATTTATTAAAATAATAATAATATAAAAACATAGTGGTGTGATTATTACTGTTTATGAATAATTAATTTATTATCAGTTTTCTTCTTAGATAAAAATTTTGTAATTCTTTGCGTACATACATGCTTCATAAGCAGTTATATACATACATACATACATACATATATATATCTGAATTTTTTTTTTTTTAATTTTTTCCTTTGATCGGATATAACAATTATAGCATGTTTTAGAATCAAAACAGGAGGTCGAGATTTTTAGATATTTAAAATTTTTAATTTAATAATCTATTACTACATTAATTTTCAAAACGAAGTGTTTTATGAATTAAATTTAGATTATTTTTGTAAATGAATGAATATAAATACCTTGGTATCATTGTAAATGAATGCTTATCACGTTTAATTTAATGTAATCAATAATATTATTGAATCCTCTACGTACAACTATGCATATTCTAATCCACGTTGTTACTTTAGAATTTTATTTTGTAACTACATAAAAATGAATGAATTATATTGATAGAATCTTTCATTTTTAATTTAATCTCTTACGTCTAATAAATTACTTACAACTTAAATATAAACTTATAAAAAGTATATCTTTAACTTGTACACGAATTAACTAATATACAATTTATTTATAAATTTATATTTATTGTAAATAGTCAAATGAATTCACTAATATAAAATTCAAATTAACTTGTTTAACCTATATTATATCTATATAAACAATATATATATATATATATGAATTAAAAAGGTTTAATCTGTTTATTACTCTATTTTATTTTTTTGTGTCTTTTAAGTGTTTTTTTTTTTTTAAAAAAAAGAAATGTTTGAAAGATGGATGGTTTTTAAAATAATACGATTTCACTTATACTACTAAATTTCGTACCCGAATGAATCTTACGAGCTAATCTAATCATATTGAATAGTATGAACCCTATGAAAAAAGATTTATTGTATTTCAATACTTGATTTAATTCTTATGTAGTATTATTCTACTAAGATAATAATAAAATTTTAAGTTCATAAAATCAATATATAAAATTGGATTATGAGAGATTGAATTTTAATTCAAAAAAGAAGATAATCACTCGAGAACGAATTAAAAAAAGAGGTGGGAAGGGAAAGAAGAAAAGATTGTTGAACACAAAATAACATTTTAGAAGCTTAAAACTCTGGTAGAAGTGGTGTGGTTTTAGACCCCTTTTCTTTCCTTTTTAATCCTTCCACTTTAAGAAATGCTTCACCAACTCTCTAACATAGAAACCTACCTACCAAATATTTCAATGTAAATTAAGATACTAATTAGGAAGTAAATCAGGACATTAAAGACAAAATAAATCAATGTATTGAAGAGAAAATCAACATGTAATAAATTACATCTTTGTAATTAATTATCCTTTTTTTTTCTGTTTTGGAATACTTTTAATTATAATATTCAACAAAATATATCAATAAAAAATTATTTTTAACAATTTCAATTTAAAGTTGCTCTTTCAAATTTTAGACTTGTTAAATTTAGCTTAAATTCTTTTAGTTTTGTTTATATTTTGTTTTCTATATGGTTTGGAAGCTATAAAAAATTAAATACTAGTCTTAATTAAAATTTTAATTTATTTATATTTTATATAGTTTAGGAAGTAAACTGATACTGTGGCTCAATAGTAGCTAGCTGAGTGGAATAGCTAATTAATTGAAATATTTGTGACATCCAAACTTCAGGAATAAATAATTAATCCAAATTTAAACAACGTATTAAGTTGAAATGAAGTTTAAAACTAGATGACCCAATACGTAAATTAGTCTTTTTATTCTACTAAAATATTTTACCTTCACGTATTCTTTTCCACTAGCAAGAGAAAAAGTGTTTGGCAAAAGCTAAACGATCCACGCATAAAAAAGAAATCTTCGTATCCTCTACTTCCTTTTTTGATTGATCCAGAGTACCTACCTACCATATACATACATACACATTTACGTACATACGCTACACATATACCATATATATTCTATAGATATATAAGATCTGAGTTTTTTCAGAACATGGAGGGAAGGTTGTTTCTCAAGTGTTTTCCTCGTTCATTTTTTGGAGAAAAATCTTCTTCTCCTTCCTCTTCTTCCTCTTCTTCTTCTTCCACCACCAACAAGGATGAGGGTGGCGGGTTATTTTCTTCTCTGGCCATGGACATCCAACAGCTTCAAACCCTATTAATTGCCGACCAAGAAAAGTACTCCTCCAGATTGTTTTCTCTACAATGGTGTGTTCAGGCCACCGATCTCCTCAGAAAACTACACAGCTTGTCACTTGGCTTTCTTCACCAGAAAGGAAAAAAGCCATTAACAAGCAGCATATGTTTCCTAACAGATGAGTACATGAGGCAGACTTTATGTCTTCTTGATTTATGCAACTGGTTAAAGCAAGCCATCAGTTCCATCAACAGGTACTGTCTGGTTATTGATTTGGCTGCCAAAAGATTGCCGGGTCTAGATGACAAGAACATTGCCGAAGAGATTGACAAGATTGGAAGGGACACTGAGAAGTTCCGGAAGTCAATTGAGAAGCCTGAAGATGTGCTGAATTTCTTCAAGCTGACAAAATTTACCAAGAGGAAGATAGGTGTTGATCGTATTTTTCTCTATGGCCATTATATGATTCAAAGCTCCATGAAGATAATATGTAGGCTTCTTTTCTCCGCAGTGATTTACCCAGTTTCACTGAGAGGTGACGATGAGTTATTATCGAGTAGTAGTATCAAGTTTCCGCCGTTGAAGATGCTTTCAGTTTTGCTCAGGAGGCTTGTTGTTGGTTATAGTGGTGAGAATTGTTCTTCTGAGAGTTGTATTTTGGTTGAGGTTATAATGGCGGAGAGGGCAGTTTTGGGCGTAAAAGAAGAGGTCTTGAAGGGAATGCTTAAGGAAAACTTTGTGAGGAGTGTTGATTTGATGAAAAGAAGATGTGAGGTTCTGAGAGAGGGTTTGGACAGATTTGAAGATGCAGTTACTGAGTTGTTTGGGGAAGTTGTAAAGGGGAGGAATAAGATACTGGGTACGGAAAACTAGGTATTTCAGAATATATAGAGTAATATTCATAGGCTCTGTTTAGTTTTAATTCCTGTTTCATTTCTAGCTTTAAATAGTCACTTTAGTTTCTTCGCGAGCACGCGTGTGTCGATGTATCTATATAACTACTTATCAGAACCAATAAGGGTTGCAACCTCACTTTTGTAAATAAATTTTAACTCTAAATAAAATTTGTTTTCATCTATTATATATTAAAGTAGTAATAAATAGTAATTTTAGACAATTTGAACTCCCAAGTTTATTTTTACTACGAGCCCAAGTCTTAAAAGACAACTTCAAGATTCTAGGAGTATGGCAAGACTCCAAAGCAACATCTACTGAAACTACTTATGAATCCCGAGACAAAGCCCGACGTCTAAAACTGCTCTAACCATTTTGGGACCCCAAGACTACACTAAGTTCTCGTAGGGATGTGAATAATGTTATGATCTGAGACAGCATAGGGTTCTGTGCGAAAGTCTGAGATCCTGAGATTGTTCCGAAGTCTTATGATGGTTATAGATAAAAGTGCCAGAGTTCTAAGGTAACTGAGAACATAGGTCTGCAGCATATCCGAAGATTACTAAAAACTTTGTGTCGAGATTCTAGAATTGCTCTTGAGTTCCAGAGTTCCCAGATTCTAGTACTAAAAAAGTACATTTTCCAGATTTCCAGAGGTTCCAGAATTTACTTAATACAAGTTTTGTACCAAAGTACTGTACAAGGGCATGTGTAAGGCTATATTTTGGAAGTTAGTACGTTGAGTTGTATCGTAGTAAAGTAATATAATACTATAAACAAAGATTTTCTTATTATTCAAGATTCTTCAAAATAGTAGCTATTTTTTAAAATTAAAAATTCTAGATTACAAGAGTAATCTACTAACAAAGGCCATTAAGGTAGTTGAGATAATAAGCCACGCTACTTAAAACAATGGCTACTGTCACCTGTGAAGTGGGGATACAAATTCCGGATTAAACAAGAGGATAACATGTTCTCTCTCCCCGCCTTTGATCATCACTCAAATAGCTGGTCTTTTGTTCTCTTCAACTTCTAATATTTCATGACGCCAAACTAAACCCCAAAAGAAAAGGACAAAAGAGAAGACAACACACTACAGACAGGGCATGTAGCAAAAAACCTACATTGCAAAGTGGCGAAACATAAATGTCCAGTCGGTTCACTGTTAAACTAGTTTGGTTGATAAATTGGCAAAACATCCACAACTCACACGACTAGCAAAACAAAGAATCAATCTAGTTAAGAGAATAAAACAAGGAAGATTTAAAGTATACATTAGCATTAGCTACCAAGAAAATAGGCCACAAATAGTTTACTGTTTGACAGTCAGAAGAGATCCTTCTAAGGCATGCTCTTTATCAGAACACGTGATCTGATGTCACAACAAATCACTAATTATAAAGTTGACCATGTAATCTTACAAGTTTGGATGCACCAAAAATTTTTTACAGTATACCAACAAAAGAATGGAACTTCTTCTAGTGGTACAGAGTGTAGGATGTATTCGCTTGCCTCAGCTCAAATCAAGAAGCAATTAATGAAGAATAAATTGGGTACAACAGAATGAACTCAATAAAAGATGTTTCCGAAGAAAACTAACCACTTGAATCGGTGGGACTGCTAGAATATTGACCTCCCCACCAAATGCAAATAGATTTCCACATTCACAGAGTTAACCGCAATATAGAATATCCATTGTGCCAGTGCCGGTACTTTGTAAAATCAACGCAATTGCACATCCCTTCTCACCAGGAGATGAATGAGCATGACCGAGCATTAGTATATAATATGGACCTGTTCCCCAGGAAGTCATTACATCACATCTTACTCCGTTGCTTGCTGGCGGATGTTCCGCTTCTCCTCTGATCTGTGACGAAACAACTTAGCTATGGCTCTCCTCTCACAATCCTGATATTTAAGAAATGGTTAAGAACAATACGAAGGAATTGCAAACTTATAACTGGTCGTCCTTTTGACTTGATGACAGAAATAAAATTGCCAAAATTTTAAAATTTTTACTGCCTGACAATAGGCTCTCTACCTTGAACATATTGAGATAAAATGGTTTCTCAGGATTCTTTCTTCTCAATTTCTGGTAAGTGTATGCAAAACTTAGCTGATCACGACTTGTAAACCGGTCAACCTCATTGAACCAGAGACAGGAGAACAAATTTGACATTGGAGTGTGCGCTCTTACAATAAAAGACCCTTCAGGCACATCTATGAATAGCAAAAAGCATATCTTTATAAAAAAGAAAATATAATCTTTTCCAACTGAATTTTAAATTGTTGTGTTTGTGTGCATCTTTTGACAGTTGCATTCATCCTAGAAAAAACATCTTACTACTAGGAAGAAGCTTGTTAGGGTCTGATGCATTAAATCTTGTCAGCCCATCAGCCTGGTAAAACTTAAACTGCTGATCAATGATACTATGATTATACTTGTTTAGCTTCTTATTTTGTCCAACCTCCTCCCACACACAATGCCGATCATAGTGATTAGAAATGGCATATTCGTGCCCTTTCCGCCACAGGAAGTATTCTAAGATGAGCAGTGGGTCCAGTTGAAGACGCAGTTTACTGTCTAACCAGATTGAATACCTGATAAATATCCAATATGCAGGACATTTAGATAAACCACCGAAACTTACTTGCGTGCTGGAAACTACAACAAACTAACAAATAATTGTTATGAATTTGTGCAAGTTTCCATACATAGTCTCACAACCAGAATCAAGCTAAGGAAGAAACCTTTAGAAAACGGTGTAATATAGCAAATCTGATGAAAGAAACAAATAGTACATCTGAGTACATATTATGTAGTGATTTCCCAAAACAACAAAAAAAAGGTCTAAACAGAATGTTTGTTGCCAGACACTGTTTTCCACATCAAAATTAGTAATAGCAAAGATGGTATGGCAAAATAAAATGGTTTTCCAAACCATATATAACCATCATTGAATTGGTTTTCAAGAGATAAGATAGCAAATCATGAGACAAAGAAATATACAGATTTTTGTTGCTAGACAGTTTTTCCACATAAAAATTGTTCTTAATAAAGAGCATATAGCAAACTCACAGTGCTTATGTAACCATATATTGCAGTTATTAAATTATTTTTAAAGAGATAATTGAGTACTAATAAAAGAGATGATATGGCAAAATTCACCCTTTATATTGCAATCAATGAAGTGGTTTTGAAGAAATAACATAACAAACTAATGATAAATAAATTCACACGTCTGTATATGTAAATTAACTGCTTATAGGAGAAAAAAATTGCATGTATCATACTAGTTCACATCCCACCTGGCAGAAGGAAATAGCCGATGTGGCAACAATTTTGGTATTTTGCCCACTCTCCGCATGTCTAAATAAGGAAGATTCTTCACCACTACTATCTTCCACAGACCAATAAATCCCGTTCTATCTGGCGAATGACCTTCTGAAGAAAGTGTTTGCAGAGTAACTTCATCCATAAACATTACAAAGCATACATTTTTCCTTGAGAGACGACTTACCTAAACTTAAAAGAAAACAGGAACTGAGCCACTATTGGCAATTACAACTCACCATTTATATCGAAAAGTGATTCTAAATATATATTATGAAGTATGATAAAATGGCATCCAATCAACCATATATACAGACAATGCATGATAGAAGTTGGCTTTTGATGAATATTTATCATAAAGAGTCTGAAAAGATTTATTCTGACACATTTGAAACACATGCAATGACTATGAAATAGAGTCTAGAACACCAAAGGAACTTTAGCATGAATGTTGATCCCACAATTACTTTATGTGTCATGTCTGTGGAGCTAAACTAATCGATGTATTAACAAAAACAAAACAAATTTGCATCTATAATTCTTCATTGTATTGCACCAATTTTCTTGCATCACAAACATTAGCAACAAATTTGGCCTCCTCAGACATAATGGATCAACAACAGAACAAAATGGTACAGGCACACTCACCAAAAAGCACCCAAGTAGATAATAGAAGAAAAGAAAACACAGACACTAACCAGGATGCACAGGGTGGATTATTTTAAAAAAAAGATGCACAGGGCGAAATTAAGATATAAATTAACAATCTCCTAGGTCAGCAACATCATTTTAGTTAAGCTGTCCATAATCTTACTAAGAAATTAAAAATAAAAAAAATAAAAAATAATTTTAAAAAAAAACTGATTTGTAGCTAATAATATAGAAAATCATTATCCAAAATCAAAGCGCTTGAAAAGTTACACCAAATTAACATATTATGCAATCCCCTGGAGTAAACACTTACCACCATTATAGAGACCCAGGTCTTGACATTTATGTCAATTGCAACCATTTATTTGATGCCCATATTATGTCTTTATTACGTGATACAACTGGCAAAAAAGAAAAATGCAGTTTCCGGCACATAGAGTAAAATAACATAATTTCAAAAAAGGAATAGAAAGTTTTGCTGATGGGTTTGCAGTTGCGTTTTTGTTATTAAGGTATAATACAGCTTGTTTAGATTTGGAGTTCAATCCTTAAAATGGTCATGTAGTTCAGACATGGCAATGGAAGATGCAAATAATATGCCTCTGAAATCTTTTTTAAGTATAGAATCTAATCGGATTTGTTAAAACTAAATTTAGGAGTGATTGTCAGTCACTCAGGAACTCTTTGTTTTATGTACTACCCATCCTCCAGCCCCAAAAGGTAGAACAAGAATCATAATGGAACTAAAAGGAAGCTGGCAAAAGTTTTCTTTAATTGTTGAATCAGTTATTATAGTAGCTTTCTCTCCTTTTTCCTCCTCTGCGACTATGCATGCATGCATGAATTTCTGTTTCTGCATGTCACTGTGCATGTGAAAGAGGAGAGAGGGTATAGTTGCAGTAAAATAGTAATTTAAGGCAGATACAGCAGCAAACAAGAAAACCTTGTAATAAATGGTCTAATTTCATCTAAATCTCATTCATCTCACAAAGAACAGAAGGAGGTCAGGCATCAATACATTTTCTTGGCTCCCAGGTAAGCTAAATAGAAAGCATATCAAACACTACATATGTAGTTATGGATCAAAGACGGAAAGCGAATGTGATATAATGATGCAATGTCCCATTTTATATGTCTCAACCAATAACATAGAAGTAATATAACCTACAAATATTTTTAAGTTCCATATAAGTCCAACATGAAATTTGGGACATATCAATTCATCACATGTCAGAATGAAACATGCTGATTATGGGTAACAGGCAGGGAAAAAATAAGGCACACAACTTGATAGGCCATTAGTATATTTCTCTAGAAAGATTATCACATACCATTTTACCAGCAGGCTCCCTCAACCGGTCAGAATTTCCAAAAATGCAAGAGATCACAGCAATGTGACATTTACTGATGTAATTTTCATCATCTTCTGCCAAATCAAATCCAGTACTAGGGAATTCTTCAGGACCTCTAACAAAACCACAATTTATCTTCTGGTCACGGGCCGAAAAAGATTCTTCCCGTTCCTGTAAGCTCTGATGACCTGCAAATCTAGGTTCCCACTCTGCCTCAACAAAAGGTTTCTCCTCCTTCTCTATGTACTGTAAGGAAAATCTAGCGAACTTTCGAGTTTCTAAAGGCTCTACCAGATGTGCAGTAGAATTTAAGAGCTTCATCTCACAAGAGCCTGATGAATTTGAACAGGACATGTCAGTCAAGGAGAAGAGAACAAAAGAAAGAAGAAAGCAACAATGCAACACTGCACCAATAAAGTAAACATGCTTATTCGAGAAAAGAAATTATTCTTATTTTTAAATTTTTGGTGAATACTGGTACCCAGACATAACATAACAAGATCTGCATTTGTCAAGTTTAAATGAAGATGTAAGTAATAAAGGTGTAAAGAAATCAACATCCCTTTCACCCTATCCTAATTATCCATGATCTCCTAAATGGTAGTATTATCTGCCAATGACAATGGAGAGATCAAACAGGAAAATGAATTTTCTTAAAAAAAAAAAGTTCTGGGACAAATCACTCTAATGCCAAAAAAACTATTTTAGAAATTAAAAAAAAAAAAAAATATATATATATATATATATATAATGATAGATCAATAGAGGGGCGGGGGAGGGAGAAGAAGAGCTACCAGAAAATTTGCGGCGTCTAGGTCTTCTTTTGGTATCTAAGCGCAATGTCTTTGTAGACTGATTACTGTTGACATTGACACGTCGAGAATTTGTATCAGAATTACCAGAACCTTCAGAACCAGATGAAATTTCCTCCCCAGATAGTTTAGAAAGAGCTTTCCCTGCCTCCTTTGTAATCTTCTGATCCTTGGTTCCAGCATGAACCAAATCTGACTTTTCACTCAGAGTTTTCGCAACATCAAAGTGTTCCTCATTGTCATTAGAAGAATCATCATATTCTTCCATTCGGAAGTCATGGGAGTCAATTGCATTACTGTACTCAGCATCAGAATCAACATCCTCATGATGTGATTCAGAATTTTTGCCATCTAATAGTTGATCACTATTCCCATGCTCATTTCTGGTTTGAACCCCATTTCCCAAAGAAGCTTCATACTCTGCTTCATATTTTTAAGTTCATTACGTCCAGCTTCATTGTACAACCCACCCCCTTTCCGGCCTGAACCTTTAACGGGATCATCAAGAGAGATCTCTAAATTTTCATTCCTCATTTTGAATACATGGTCCTTATTTTGAGAGACATCATGGGAAGATATGCTTGAACGCTCCAGCACATCCTCATTGTAGTCATCATCCCTTCTCCTGTCATCCCTATCCCAATACCTCGAGTCTCGGCCATGAGATACTGAACCTTGGCCAAACCCAAGGACTTTAACAGTTTCCATCCTTGTCACATTTGTAAGAAAATCACCATCGTTCCTTAAATCATCATCAGCATGATAAGTATTAAGTTCTGCACCAATATATACAGAGTGATTAGCCAGTTTCCCCCCTCCATCTCTATGGAGTAGTAGTAGTAGTTGCAGTACTAGAAGAAAATAAAACACCAAAGTTTTCTATCTTGTAGCTGTAAGAACTAATAAGCATATCCATTCAAATGAGAATACGACAGATTGATGCATAGCTTACATGAGTTTTTATTCATAAAATCATATCTCAAATTATCAAATAAACGCCAAACTAATATGCAACGTGTATGAGTCCCAGGATTTCCATAGCGCACACCTTAATAAAATTACATCTTCTCCAAAGTGAACTTAGCCTAAACAAATTTAGCTCTCACATTAGTCACAAATCAGAAGAAATTCTTTTTGCGCTTCCTTCACTCTCTACCCTGAGTCCCTGAAGCAAAGAATGAATATTACCCGACTTGATGCCAATAAAATAGGTACAAGCAAAGTTAAAATACGAGATTGTTCGTCTTTCTTTATCCCTTTCTCGTACTTCCTCAGCAAACAAATAACGAAACTCACAAACAAAAATCAACAAATTAACTAAATAACAAACTGACCTTTACTGTTATCATTAATATCGTCATTATTATTGTAACCAGAAATATAGTAGTACGCTAAGACAGTGACAGCGAGCACGAGGCAGAGGACAACGACGATCGCGCTGGAGATGCCGCGGCTCTTGTCAGAACGCGCCGATCGGCGGCCCCGACCGGGCTTGCCGTGCTGAGACGAACCACTGCTGGCGGCACGAATCCCGATGGAGATGTGATCCGACGAAGATGCGCCGTTAACGTGGTGGTGGTGCTGGTGGTAGTGGAGATCGTGGTTGCCTCCACGGACCACAAACCTCTCGTTTCCCGATTGCCTGTACTGAGCCATTCTCGCATTTTACTCCCTCTTTCTCTCTCTCTCTCTCTTATCGGTCACTCACTTCAGGAGAGAGAAACTCCATATACACATAAATGGAGAGTATGTAGAGACGAAAGAGGAATACAGAGAAATTTGAACTGTGAAATTTTTTACATATATATTTCTTTTCTGTTAATGGAAGAAAAATGAAATTTTTGTGTTTTATTTATTTATCTTTCCAAGGGAAGAGTGGATTGATTAAGAAGATGTTCTTAATTAAGTATTCACTTAATTTGATCTGGTTTATTTAGGGAAGAAAGGTGAAGGCGCGTGTCGGTAAGCGGTGCCCAGTGTATAAAGTCCTTGACAGGTTTTGCTGGTAGCGATAGAGGAAAGTGAAATTACCTAAATACCCTTACGGAAAAGTTGAAACTTGAATTTTGGGGGTTTTAGGAATTTCGAACAAATTAATTTTAAAAAAAATATATACAAACTTTATTTACATATATCCATTTTATAATTCAATAATGTATTTTGAAAACAAACTCATTAATCAAAAATATTTTTTGATTCTTATATTAATGCATAATAAATTTTTAAAAAATTATCTAATGGTGTTATAGTATAAATGTAATACCCCAATTATTATTATTATTATTAGTATTATTTTATTTTGATTTTTTTTGTAATTTTTATATGAATATATGAATTTTTATATGGTTTTAATTTAGTTTAATTTAATTAAATAGAAATAATAATACTAATAATAATAAAAATAGGTAAAATTATTTTAGAAATTTAATTAAAAGCAATTTTGAGAAAAATGAGTGAAAATTTGGGTTACGAGAGTATTTTTAAAAGAAAATTTGAAAACCGGGGGTTAAAACACAATTTAAAAAAATTACACCACGCCAGCTGCCCGGTCAGCAGCCCCGACCAACCAAAACGCGCCGCGTGGCAGAGACGCTGACGCGGGAGGCCACTCGGAAAGGAGTCACGTGGGCGATCCGCGTGCGCGCGATAGAACGGCTGAGATCCGTTCCCGCGCGCACAGACGGCCCAGATCAAAAGCACGCACGGACGGCCCAGATTGCATGCGCATGGACGGCTCATATTGAATCGTGCACGGATAACTCAGATTGTATCGCGATGAACGGCCCAGATTCATTTTCTTTTTATCGCAATCGGATGGTCCAAATTAA